ATGTCCTGGGGCAGCTCCCCATGGCCCCATCACCCACGGTCCCACTACTCCTCTCTCTCGATCTCCTCCCAGTCTTATGGCAAAATGTGGGGGATGCCAGGCACCGCGGTGCGGAGCATCCGTCCCTACCAGTCCAGCGAGCAGTACCTCTACGCCATGAAGGAGGACTTGGCCGAGTGGCTGAAGGAGCTGTACGACCTGGACATCGAGGTGGGCACCTTCGTGGAGGTGCTGGAGACGGGGGCCGTGCTCTGCTCGCACGCCAACAACGTCACCCACGTGGCCGGGGAGTTTGCCAGCGCCTACCCCAGCATCGCCCGCCACCTCCGCCTGCCCACCACCGGCGTCACCTGCAACCTTGCCGCGCAGCCGGGCACCTTCCAGGCCAGGGACAATGTCTCCAACTTCATCCAGTGGTGCAGGAAGGAGATGGATATTAAAGGTAGGATGCTGGGCTCCAGCCACCCCCTGTCCCCGTGTGCAAGTCCCCTCCTCCCATCACCCCAGTTGCTTTCCCATGTGCCTCCCAAAGCTGGTGCCACACCAGCAGCACCGTGAACACAAGAAATCCCAGGGCTGGGCTTTCTCCTCCAGGCTCAGCAGCACTTTAGCAGGGTGCTGGCACCCACTGGGCATGTTTGCTTGAGTGCAAATACGCACCAGGGCATGGAACTGGAAGGGGCTGCAGCCTGGCCCTGCCGTGCACGGCGCAATCTCAGCTGCGAGGTCATCGGGAGTGGCCCTGGCTCTGAGCCTCTGTGCCTACCACCCACGTGTCCCCAGAAAGGGCATGGAGTGACACATCCTTGGTGCATCCAGCCATTGGAGTTTTGTGCCATGAAACAGCCTCTGATACTTTATCCCAACTCTTGTTGGGCCCAACCATATTTCTAAGAGGATGGCTCCAGGGAGTAACATCCCTTTGGATGGGTTTTGACTCCACCTGTGCCCACCATCCACATTGACCACCCACGTGTCCCCAGAAAGGGCATGGAGTGACACATCCTTGGTGCATCCAGCCATTGGAGTTTTGTGCCATGAAACAGCCTCTGATACTTTATCCCAACTCTTGTTGGGCCCAACCATATTTCTAAGAGGATGGCTCCAGGGAGTAACATCCCTTTGGATGGGTTTTGACTCCACCTGTGCCCGCCATCCACATTGTCCCCAACCCCACGTGCTTGCCCTGGCTCAGCCCAGCCCTGCCCCACCCCAGACGTTCTGATGTTCGAGACGGAGGACCTGGTGCTGAGGAAGAATGAGAAGAACTTTGTGCTGTGCTTGCTGGAGCTGGCACGTCGCGCCGCCCGCTTTGGCATGCGCGCCCCAACGCTCGTGCAGATGGAAGAGGAGATCGAGGAGGAGCTCCGCCAGGAGCTGGACCTGCCTCCTGCAGATCCTCCCCTGCCCCGACCCCCCAGGAAACCACGGGACCTGCACAACCTTGACCAGATGGTACGGAGGGGCTTGGAATGGGATGGAGATGGAGATGGAGGGGAAGCTGGGGATCAGAGGGAGATGGGGTTGGAGATAGGTATGGGGATGGAGCTGGGGATGGGAATGGAGGCCAAGATGGAGGGGGAGATGGGGATCAAGATGGAGATGGCCACTCCAGGACCTTTCCCAGGAGCCCTGGTGAGGGCCCATCCCTGCTGCCCACAGGTCCAGCACCTGGTGAGCCGCTGTACCTGCCCTGTCCAGTTCCCCATGATCAAGATATCTGAGGGGAAATACCGCGTGGGCGACTCTGACACCCTCATCTTTGTTCGGGTGAGTTTGTTTCACCCCTTGCTTTTGGGGCACAGGCACCAGGAATCCTTTTCTGCTGTCACAAAGACTCTTCCATCCCCCAAATGGGGCCAATGTGGGGGGTTTGACCATTATCTCTAAAACAGGGAGCAAGGAAACCCAGCCTTTGCATGGATGCAACCCTCTGGGTGTATGCGAGAGCCAGGTTTTCCTCAGCGATGGGAACACTGGGATGCTCTGTCCTGGGTCCATCCCCAGGCCTGGTTTTCCCAAAAGGCTCAGCACATGAGGGTGTAGGGTTTTTTTAATTGCCAAAAAGCTCCCCCACTCTCTTTGAGGTGCTGAAGCAGGATGGTGGCAGGAGCTGAGCCCCTCCCCGCCTCACTGCTGAGCCGGGACGAAGCCGTCCTTTGGGAGAGCTGGTGGCACTCCGGGTAAAGCCCAGGGCTCTCTGGGAGCGTGTCACTCCCAAGGCTGCTTGAAAAGAGGTGAGGGTCTCAGGGGAGTGTCGCACC